AGATGGGGCCCTCCATTGTTTCTGACAATGGGGCCCTCCATTGTAGATGGTCAGATGGGGCCCTCCATTGTTTCTGACAATGGGGCCCTCCATTGTAGATGGTCAGATGGGGCCCTCCATTGTTTCTGACAATGGGCCCTCCATTGTAGATGGTCAGATGGGGCCCTCCATTGGTTCTGACAATGGGCCCTCCATTGTAGATGGTCAGATGGGCCCCTCCATTGTTTCTGACAATGGGCCCTCCATTGTAAATGGTCAGATGGGGCCCTCCATTGTTTCTGACAATGGGCCCTCCATTGTAAATGGTCAGATCAGGGGTCGAAATTAGATTTTTATTATGGTATCCATTCGGGATACCAGGTATTGAAATCTGGTATCCCCCCCAAAGATCTAGTATCCTGGATTTTTGGGGATAGTAGTTTCAACAATGTTGGTATCCAAAATCTTGAAATATGCAATAATAGCATTTGAAAATTATTAATATGTAATGTAATTATTATATAAAAATCTCGCTCCCGCGTCTAATCATTAGTGGGCTGAGTGCATTCGCGAGCATTTCATTTTACCATAGATATATACAACACAGGTGTTGTATATATATCTATGATTTTACATGCCTCCACAGTACACTGCAGACGTATTGTCTAGACGCATTGTCTGGTTCGCTTGATACAATCATGATACAATGTATACACATGTTCACAATTATGATCAACATCGGCCAGGCTTGCAAAATATGCTATGCCTGCTGTATAAAAACGCTAGTGTGACATAGTAAATTAGTAACTAAGGGCGCGCACTCGCGCTCTCGCACTTGCTCAGATGCGCTGCCGTATAAAGTTGATAACTCAACAACCACTATCCCGATTATGACGTTTTTTTTACTATCCTGGTGGGATACCAAGCATTGAAATCTGGTATCCCGCACAAGAATCTGGTATCCCGCGGATATCGGGATACCGCTAATTTCGACCCCTGCAGATGGGTCAGTGTGTCAGATTTTAGAGTTTGTGACACTTCGTAGCCAAGCAGCATTTTAGAATGCCACTATCGCAATGCTGATTGGCTGGAGCTATTTGTTAATGACTTCAGGCGGATATGTCGTTTGCACGGTGCCCCTCCGATGCTACGAGGAAGTATTCGGAAGTATCGTTGCTGTTGAGAAATTGATAATTATCGTGCATGATGTAATGTACGTTTGTTTTTTTGCAGGAAACTTGAGAAATTGGAGAAGGCTCAGGCGGGTGGGGTCGTGAAGAGCAAGAGCAAGAAGGACAAGAAAAAAAAGAAGAAGAAAATAGAATCTTCCTCCTCCTCTTCCTCATCTTCTGATGATGATGATGATGATGACTCGGGTAAATACATTTATCTCTTACACGTAATAAGTTATATGATAGAATCGTTGCGTCGTGCTAACACAGGGTTTGTTTCTTCAAACGGTAATGAAATGTAATCTGGCCACATGTTGCTGCACAGCCATGTACACGTGAAACTCCAAAACTCCTGAAAGCCCAGTGTTTAGTTGCCAGCTTAAGTATAACTGTACAATTATGCTATTTACAATAATTTTCTACTATATAAACTATGTCCCCGCAACACATGGCAAACTGAAATCTCGCATATTCTGAATAAACTTCAGATTCTGAAAATCCTATAGATTCTAAAAATCCTATAGATTCTAAAAATCTAACAGATTCTAAAAATCCCATAGATTTTTGGAATTCTGCAGATTCTAACAATCTCGTGATTGTTTCTTCGCAGACGCGGCGTCATTTATTGATTAATTTTTAATTTGCGGATTACAATTTTCCACCTCCACCATGTAACCGGATTCTGAATGTTGCTTTGTTATGATATAATCTGTGATTGATGGGTCTTCTATGATGGGTTTCAGGTATGGATGGCAGAGCAGAAACAGCTCGACTTTGATAATAAGCAGGAGGAGCTCAAGGTTCAATATGAGAAAGAACAAGACATGTACACTAACAGGTATGTCATATTTATTTATTAATTAAACGACACTTCATTGGTAAACATACCAACATGAGCATGCATGCGGGATACCATCATGATAAAGTGCAGTAAAAAGGTGATAGCTTAAACAATAACTTGAATTTAAACTAGTCAACATATTCTCAATATAAAGCAGGGATCGAATTTGACGACGGCAACCGGCGGCATTTTCCGCCCGAACATATTGATTTGCTGTCAAAGGTAGTCTGCATGTATCGGCGGCAAGTAAATGCTGTCGTACACAAAATATACACACAAGTACAAACAGTCACCCTATCCTTATCCCTAACCCTAACCCTAACCCTAACTCTAAACCGACTCGGCTATCTAATATACGCGTGTCAGAGTACCAATCTATGGTGTATAACCTTTCGTAGTGATGCGCAACAATGCTCGGGCGAATAGCGCCACCGAACTATAGTATCCACGTATATATATATATCGTGTGTACAGGACTTGCTGTCAAAGTGTTGCTACTTGCTGTCAGAGGGCACAGCCTCTGACAGCAAGTAGGAGCCTTAGTTGCTGTCAGAGGCAAATTGCCAAATTCGATGCCTGTAAAGTACTTGTGTCTGTAGGTGGCATACAGTGTACATGTGTGTAGGCGTACGTGGATGTGTGTGCGTGCGTGCATGCGCATGTGTGTGGATGTACGTGTACGTGTGGGTTTGCGTGCGTGCTGTGTGCGTGCGTTCATGCTTCACCGACTCGCTGCAGGGCGTTGCTAGGCAACGATGAGAAACTGAAGCTGGGGTTGAGCTTCATGTACGACGCTCCTCCCGGCACGAAGGCAGCGAGAGAGAAGGAAGACGACGAACCGGAATACAAGTTCGAGTGGCAGAGGAAGTACAACGCGCCGCGTGAATCGTGAGTCAACGTTGATCCGACCGTGTGTTAGTGTTCAGTGTTATGCAGGACCCTCGGTCCAGGCAACAGTAGCAGTAACAGCTCAGGCACTTATTAATAATCTTAATTTATTCTGTCACATCACCAATTAGCGTTGAACGTTTCATCAAATTGCGGCGCCTTGTTTTCAAAACCTTGGAGCCCGTCATTGTCAGAAACAAAATTAGTATTAACATTAGTCTTAACATTGAGTTTNCATCATGTCAACAACACAGCAACACCTGCATCAACATGTCAACAACACAGCAGCACCTGCATCAACATGTCAACAACACAGCAACACCTGCATCAACATCATGTCAACAACGCAGCAGCACCTGCATCAACATGTCAACAACACAGCAGCACCTGCATCAACATGTCAACAATGCATCAATGTCAACAACACAGCAACACCTGCATCAACATCATGTCAACAACGCAGCAGCACTTACATCAACCTGTCAACAACACAGCAACACTTACATCAACCTGTCATCAACACAACAACACTTACATCAACATGTCAACAATGCAGCAACACTTACATCAACCTGACAACAATACAGCAACACTTACATCAACCTGTCATCAACACAGCAACACTTACATCAACCTGTCATCAACACAACAACACTTACATCAACATGTCAACAATGCATCAATGTCAACAACAGAGCAGCACCTGCATCAACATGTCAACAATGCATCAATGTCAACAACATAGCAGCACCTGCATCAACATGTCAACAATGCATCAATGTCAACAACACAGCAGCACCTGCATCAACATGTCAACAACACAGCAGCACCTGCATCAACATGTCAACAATGCATCAATGTCAACAACACAGCAGCACCTGCATCAACATGTAAACAATGCATCAATGTCAACAACACAGCAGCACCTGCATCAACATGTCAACAATGCATCAACACCTGCATCAACATGTCAACAAC